AAGACTGGCCCTGGGCTAACATCCGTCCCCATCTTCCTCCACTTTATATGGGACGCCGCTGCAGCATGGCTTGCCAAGCAGTGTGTTGGTGCGCGCCCGGGATCCAAACCGGTGAACCCCGGGCCGTCGCAGTGGAGTGCATGCACTTAACCACTTGCGCCACCAGGCTGGCCCCTGTGATGTAATTCTTGTTTGGGCCTATCATTTATTTGTATTATTTTTTTTATGTGTTTTTTTTAAACATTGTTGCCTTTCTTTCAGTTAATCTATGTTATACATTCTACTCAGGAAATAAGATGTAGTAATGGCTTCACATTTTCTTTGGAAAGGCAAGAGTTTAAGTAACTTTGTTGAAAATCTGTGCTTTAGAAAAGTTATTTTGTAATATTTTGTCACAATCCCAAAGATTGGTTTCAGAGTTTCATTTCATACTGGTGTTTTCAAGGTTCCACAACTGAAAATTAGCTCTTAAACTTTTTAGTACTCTATATAGTGTTCAGTAGTTATGAAACTATATTTCCCTGGAAAAAAAAAACCTTGATTTAAGTCCCAGAGTTTTCTCAGAGTATTGTTATACCTGAAGGGGGGAAAAGGGTATTAATTCTAAATATAGTGAAAGATGCATATAATGAGTAATAATAAATAGCTCACTCCTGACGATTTATATTTGCCAGATACTGATGTTAGAAATAACAGGAACGTTCCGCTGGGTATCTTGTATAATGCTGCTAACTAAAGCTTTATGTTTCTTCATTTATTTATGTATTTATTGCTTATGTCTTTATTTGTATGCACATATTTATTGAATGTCTTGCCAAATATAGAAGTATAGTAGTGAACAAGAGAAAGAAGATCCCTGCTGTCAACAAGCATATTATTCTAGTGAGGGAGGCAGGCAGTAAATGAGGAAACAAGTAGTTAGAAATAATGGTAAGTCCTATAAAGAAAATAAAATAGATAACGTGATAGAGATGGACGCGTGGTGGTGGTGGTGGTGGTGACAGCATTAGGAAGGGTGTCCTGGAGGAATCGATATTTAAACTGAGGTCTGAATGACAGGGAGGAGCCTGTCACATGCAAGGCAGAGCAATCGTGAAGACAGATCAGTTTGAGGAAAAGAAGGAAGGCGTGTTTAGTTGAGTTTGAGAGAGAGTGGAAGAAAAAGAGTTTGAAGAACCGAGAAAGTTTGGAAAGTTTTCTCTTTTTACTTCTAGTAAATATAGTCACATTTATGATCTTATATCAAATGTAAAGATATCTTACATCTTAATAACCTAAATAGAGTTAATAAATTCAAATTGCATAACTATTAATAAAAATAATGCTGAGACCACAATACTTGTACTCTTCGGACTAAGCTAATTGGCTAATAAACGTGAAAAGATACATTCAACCTTTTAAATAGATATGAGAATAAAATAACATTTTATACCCATCAGATTGGCAAAATAACTTTCCCAACACAAAGTGTAATGAGGAGGTGAGTACTCACAGACGCTGTTAATATCAATGTAAACTGTTGCAATTATATAAAAAATAATTTGGGGGCCAGCCTGGTGGCATAGTGGTTAGGTTGGCATGCTCTGCTTAGGCAGCCCGGGGTTCGCAGGTTTGGATCCTGGGCGTGGACCTACACACCGCTCATCAGGCCATGCTCTGGCGGCATCCCAATACAAAATAGAGGAAGATTGGCACAGATGTTAGCTCAGCGACAGTCTTCCTCACCAAAAAAAATAAAAATAATTTGGTAAAATCTAATATAGTTAATGTGCATTCTCTCTGACCCAGCAATTACATTTCTAGGTAGTTCTCAGTATGGTCCCTAACCAGCAGCGCTTGGAAACAGGTTAAAATTTAAATTCTCAGGCCCTACACCAGACTTTCTGAACTAGAAACTCTGGGCCCATTGGACCAGCAATCTGTTTTAATAAGCACTTCAGGTGATTCTGATGTGTGTAAAGTTTGACAACCACTACACCAGAGAAACACTAGCATATTTGTACAAGGGCATATGTATAAGAATTCATTGCAGCATTTTTTGAAATATCAAAAAATTAGAAATAATCCAATTGCACTCCTGAAAGGAAATAAATAAATTATGGTATATTCATATATACTATACATAGTTAAAATAAATTAATCTGTATCCACATGGATAGATCTCAGAAGCATATTAAATGAGAAGAGCAATTTGCAAAAGTACCATTTTGCACCATTTATGTAAATTCTTAACAAAATATAATGCATTGTTTATAGATACATTGAGAAGTGATAGTATAAGAAATGGACTGGACTTGCCACAAATTCGCAATAGTGATTGCCTCTGGGGAAGGAAGAATGGGAACATAGTGGATTAAATTTTTCTGTTTTCTTTTTTTTTGTGAGCAAGACCAGCCCTGAGCTAACATCCGATGCCAATCCTCCTCTTTTTGCTGAGGAAGACTGGCCCTGGGCTAACATCCGTGCCCATCTTCCTCTACTTTATATGGGATGCCGCCAGAGCATGGCTTGCCAAGCGGTGTGTCGGTGTGCACCTGGGATCTGAACCGGCGAACCCTGAGCCACCACAGCAGAGCGCGCGCACTTAACCGCTTGCGCCACTGGGCCGGCCCCTCTGTGTTTTCTTTTTAAACCAAAAAAGTGTCTGGGGAGGAGAGAAATGAGAAAAAAAAAAAGACAAAATATTTGTATTTGTTAATTTGGGGTATGAGTTTATTACATTATTATTTTCATTTCTCTATATTTAAAATGCTATTTTTATAGCTATTTGATATTAGCTATACCAAATATCAAAATTTACCATAAACTTGAGGTAATGAAAATGTTATGCTACTTCCCTTGAAAAAAACAATTAAATCAATGCAACAGAATGAAAAGTGAGAAAAAAAATTAGACTTTACTTCTCTTATATGAAGTTTTAAACTATAGTTTCATGTCTTTTCCTTCTTATAGTTAGTAAATGCAAAAAAATAGAAGTTAAATTATTTGATTTGTCATTTTAAAACTTTCTAATGTATATGTACATTCACTTTAAGAATGATTTAAGGCTACAGATGGAAGCTCAACGTATATGCCTCTCTCTGGTTTATTCAACTCATGTGGATCAGGTTCGTGAATACATGGAAAATGAAAAAGATAAAGCCCTTTGCAGTCTTAAAGAGGAGCTTATTTCTGCTCAAGAGGAAAAGATCGAAGAACTTGAGAAAATGCACCAGCTAGAGCTACAGAATATAAAAACACAAGAAACAGGTAAATGGTTTCTAAGAAAATTATAAGTACTGTAAAGCAAATAAGTATCACTTAGAGCCCACCATTCCGTGATTCTGTCCTTGTCTTAGAACCCATAGAGGAAAGTGACTATATATCCCAGTCCTGGATTCATTTGTTCATATAATCATTGAACGTTCATTTAAGTGCTTGGGAAATCTAAAATCAGTGAATCATTTTCCCCCAGGAAGTCATAGTCCAGTGGGAAAGCAATATAAAATAAACTCTTAGAAAACAATAGGACAATTTCTATAATAAAAGAATGAATAGAAAGAATGGAAGGAGAGAGGAGAAGAGTCTAGCACTTCCTCAGAGGATGAGGAAAGTAAGGTGGCAGGCAGGAGCAGGGAGGTTGGAAGTTTAGGGAATTCTTCTGAATCTTAAACATAGAGGTGTGAGAGACTGCATCCATTTTGGAGAATTGAGAGTTCAAGTTGTGTGAAAAAGTAGTGGAGGATAAAGCTTGAAAGATTGGAAGGAGTTTGATCAGAAAAAGCTTTATATATCCTGACTGAAGCATGTTTAAGTTTTATGCTATTGGTGATAAGACCTACTGCAGGATTGTAAATAGTGGGAATAACACTAAGATTTTTAAGATAACACCATTGCGGCAAATTGGGGGAGGTGATTAGTGATTCAAGCAACTTTGGCAGTAATTCTGTTAACAATAAGATGTTGAACTAAAATGTCACTGAGGATGGAAAGGAAAGAAAAGTTTAAGAGTTAAAGAGGTAGGCTCTAGGGGCCAGCCCGGTGGCATAGTGGCTAAGTTCATATGCTCCGCTTCAGTGGCTTGGGGTTTGCGGGTTCAGATCCTGGGCACGGACCTACGCACTGCTCATCAAGCCACTGTGGCGGCGTCCCACATACAAAATAGAGGAAGCTTGGCACAAATGTTGGCTCAGGGCCAATCTTCCTTACCCAAAAAAAAGAGAAGAAAAAAAGAGGTAGTCTGCAGTTAATATTAGTAGTAAAGGGGGGAGGAATTGAGAATGAGCCTTAAGTTTCTAGCTTGGGTAAAGTGGATTGAAGGTGACTCCAGTCATAAAGAGGATGAGGAGCAGATTTGTGAGGAAAATAATATAATTTGGAACATATTGATTTAAAAATACCTATTGACTTTGAAAAAGAGATGTCTAATAGGCAGTTGAAAGTAGAAGTCTGAAAGGCAAGAGGGAGATTCAGGCTAGAGATAAAGATTTGGAAATAAAAAGATCATTTGAGGCCAAGGACAAGAATGAGATGTCCTGGGAGACTATAGAGTGAGCCACAAGACTATGATGGCACTTAGAGGAAGCAAGAACATTTAAGGAACCTTAAATGGAAGACTAGTTGCAGTTAACTTTTATCTTTAATAATTATTTAATCACTCAATTAACTAGACTTCTGTTCAAGGCATCTCTAGTCCTCCACTCTTGCCGGATCTGCCTTCGGGAATGAGGTGGTTCATAAGTTTGTCCCATGGAATTGCTCTGTTGTACAGAGTAGATTTTAAAGAGTGGCTTGAATAAGAATAACATACTGTTTCACTTCAGGAGTTTTTTGGGTTGGAATGTAATAAGATTTCAAGTATGAATTGTTTTTATTGCTATCCTTCTCAGATAGAATCTCTTCAGTATTTTTCAAACTACAAATTAATGGGTTCATTAATGGGTGATGGTCAGTTTAGTGAGTAATGACCAGCATTTTTTTAAATAAATAATAGAACAGAGTAGAACAGAAAACATTGGAGTGCATAGCACGTAGAAAGAGTAAATATTGATGTGTGAAATTTTTGTTTTAGTTTTACATGGATGTATATAATAGGTTATGATATATGATGTATTTGTTGTATCAGGTTGTAATTAAAAAATTTGTAAGTTACTGCTGTATACCATTTTATAGGCTATAAATTGAAAATCCTACAGATTATCTGAGATAGTTAAATTGAGCAGTGGAAAATAACTTTGGAAGAAATAAAGAATTTAAAACTAATCTTAGTGCAGGGAAGCTTCCAGCTGACGTAGGTTTAATATGATAATAGTACTTAAGTATGTAAACTGAATGTCTTAATGCAGTATCTGTTCTATTAGGTGATGAAGTGAAGCCTTTACAAATGCTCATTGGAAAGCTTCGCAAGGCAGTGTCTGAAGAATGTTCTTGTTTTACACAGGTAAGATTAGTTAACAAGTACTTTTAGACAAGAAACGCTACATTTTAAGTTATTACTAGTTTGATAAGCAAAATCATCCAACTTAGTTTTTCCCACTATCTTACTTCAGAGCTTCATTAGAAAATATTTTTGAGTTTTTAAGTTTAAACTGAGCATTTAAATTTTTCCTGATAATCACTTTGAAACAAACAAAAAAATCAGGTAAATTATCTCAGCAGCAGAACAGACAAAAAGTATGCCTAATAAAAAAACAGTGGACCAACAGAGCCTCAGGCAGGTCTGTTTCCTGCCCCTGCACACTTTGGTGGTTGAGTGAATCTGATGACTTACTTGGGGAGCTTGCACAAGACTGGTGAGATATGATTTCACACTTCAGATTGCCAAAAACTAAAAACACTAATTATACCACGTGTAATTATATTTGTGAAGATGGAGTGCAATAGGAGCTCTTATACACTGCTGGTGGGAGTGTACTACCTTGAGAAGCAGATTGGCAGGGTATATTGTTGAAGATATGTACATCTCACAACCCAGGCATTTACTTTCGATAGGCGTACATATGTGCACAGCCAGATGTGTTCATTGCAACGGTGTCTATATTAAATTAAAAATTGCAAACAACTTAGATTTCCATCTGCAAGCAAATGAATAAACAAATTGTGGTATATCCATACAATGGAACACCATAAAGCAGTGTTGATATCTGTATTAATATCAATAAATCTCAAAATAAAAAAGTATAGAAACATGCATGCTAGAGTAATCGTGTCTGTGCAGAGAGAGAGGTGAATGAAATGGGTAAGCAGTACTTAATACAGAAAGCTTCAAATCTGTATGTAATGTTTAATTTTTTTAAAAAAAATTTGGCGATAATTTGACAAAATACTAGTATTTGTTAAAGCTAGGTAATAGATAAACTATTTATTCTGCATATTTGACATAGTTCACAATAAAATATATGCCTAGGGTTGTCCGTGATCTCCATCCCAGCCCGTGTAATTGTAAATTGGAGGAGGAGGAGAGTGGTATTAGTTGGGACAAATAAAGCTGCCTTACCGATTCTGACTATAAAATAGTTCAAAAACAGAATTGCAGAAAAACCCAAAAAAGTCAGAAATAACAACATCAAAGGCCTTTATTTGTTCGGCATTGGCCAGCCTCCACCTCCACCTCTGCTGAAGGGTTCAAGCATTGTCCTTTCATATCCATTGTTGATAGTAAATGTGGAAAGAGGGCCCAAGTCACAATAGTTCATTTATAAGCTGACTTTATACTTTTTCTTCCGCTAATATCTTCACCTGACCCCTAATCTCAAATTAAAATACGAATCAGCCTATTGTAATGGAGGGGTCCTTTGGAATTCATTATGAAACCTGGTTTTGTCACTAATCATTAATGTTGCCATGGGTTAGTTACTTCCTCTTTCTGAGTCTGTTTCTTCATCTGTAGATTGGGTGATTATTCATGTTTCTACCAACTCTAATATGTTAAAATTCTGTCTTAGGGGAATGTGCTGAAAATTTAATAAACTTGTTATTAATTGACAGTATAGTTTAACTTTTAAGCAAATCTCAAGAAATGGCAGCAGTAAACATTGTGGTTTTTAAGTCCAGAAGTTGTTAATTGTTGTTTCCAGTTGTGTGAAGGGCAAAGGTGAAACTTATTGAGAGGGCTTATCAAATGATGAAGAGGCAGGTGTTGTTTAAAGGATGATAGAATTGTCTTTTTCTCAGGAGAAAAACCAGAATAACGTGTCAAATATTTTTAATTTTTTTTGTGTGTATACACCACAGAATACTACTCTCATATGTTATAGAAAAAAGATATGAATGTAATCTCCTACTTCATATATTATAATTTCTCTAGAATTTATAGACTGCTTTCTAGTCATTGTTTTTGAACTTCCATCCTTGTCTTCTGGTGTTTTTTCAAGGATAGTTGACATTACAGAGATAACATCAGAATAGGATCCAAGCTAGAAAGTGGTAGATTAAAGTATAAGATATATTCGTTATTAGCAAGAAGCAGAAAAAAATTAGTTTTGTGCAGTGAAGATTATCAATATTTTCCTGATGTAAGAAGAATTTCGTGTCCTATATAGAGAGAGAAAGATTTAGACCTGATTATTTCTTTTGCAGATTGATTTGGTATATGGAAGAGTGTTTTCTTACTGATTTTTCTGTGCCATTTTGAGTGTCTTTTGCATATAGAAAAGTAATGTTTAATGATCTGTAGAGGCAGAAATCAAAATTTTAATTCCATAAAATACCTAATTTTGTTGTTAACAGACTTTTTGCAATGTACTTGGTGAACATTATACTCCTGCTTTAAAATGTGAAGTAAATGTAGAAGAGAGGGGGAATTCTGGTGTTCACACTTCTGAAAATCAAGAACTAGAATTGCAAGATTATAGATATGAAGTTCAAGGTAATAAAAGCTTACCACATTATTGAACAGTGATTTTCTTAAATCAATTGATGATGAATTTTTACCTTTAATCATGATTTAATCACTCAGCCAGTTTGTTTGTCATCTTAATATCTTGTCTTCAGATTCATGAAATCTTATAATTAATATATATTTTTATTTTTATAATGCAATAATTGTCATATAGAGAGAACCAAAGCTGTGCACAAGTGTTCTTGTCTCTTTATCTTCTTTATTTCTCTACGCTCATCTTTTTCCTCATTATAATTCTTCCCTTAACTTTATGCCATAGATCCAAACCTTTGAAGGTTATTGTATTTGTTGAATAAGTTTATATCAATGGTTTATTTTTTAAAAAAGAATAAGAAGACATACAATTATCTTCCTTAATATGAATCTTATATTTATTTTTCCAAATTGCAAGCTCAATTAATTTTTCGGTGTTCCTTCACAGACAAAATGTTTCCTACCCCTGTTCATTTGTATGAATAATGAATAAAATGTGTACAAATTAATGAATACCAAAAGAAATTAACATTTTAACATGAAATTGTCAAGTTATCTTTGTAGCAGGTAGTCCACATTAATGAGATTTTAATTTTTGGTTACTAAGTGTATGAAGTTTACTTCTAGCAGGCAATTTTCTGAAGTTATGAATAGATGAATAATATTTATTGAAAGAAGCACACTTTTACTGTGGAGTGAAATTATTATAATTGTTTATCATCTAGACTTTCTAGACTTTCAAGAAAATATGCAAACTCTTCTCAACAAAGTAACAGAAGAATACAACAGACTGTTGGTACTTCGGACACGATTAAGTAAGGTGTGTGAAATGGAAAATGTGTTATAATGTTTGCATTTATTGTATTAGCTACTGTTTTGTAAGCTGCTTTATCAACCAAGAATTTCTAAAATAAATGAACATGAAAAAGGAGATTAGGAAAAAGGGACATATATTTGTAGTATCAGTGAGCTGAAGGAATCTCTTGCAGGTTGATCACTATTTACCCCATTAGAGAGTTTTTGAAATTATGGTGAAGTAAAATATATATAAAATGTCAAATGGTAAACTTATGAAACAGTTATATTTAATTTTACATGCAACATTTTTTAAAGCAATGAGTCTGTTTTAGAGAAAAGCAGTAATTAGTTGTTTAGAACATAGCTAATTAGTTTCACACAGTGTTATGTATGTTAGATCTCTTTAAAGCAGTTGCTTTAGAAATGTGTGCATAGGGCCGGCCCCGTGGCTTAGTGGTTAAGTGAG